GAGACTTCAAGCCACTGCTCTACAAAAGCCATTAACCTCCTTTTATCCTCAAGGGCCTGCATCTCCAGGACCACGGCCAACACAGACAACGGTGGTTACTGGGCAAGAATAACACAATTACGCTGTAACCACCCTAAAAGTCGTGCCATGAAATTAAATTTCAATTTGCTGCAGGCTGCTGCCCGGCCAGTTTCTTGAAAGAAAGATTGATAAAGGGAGAATGTACCCGTGACATCTTGGTGAACAGGAGGCAGAGATTTTCGGCGTTTTATCCCCTTCAGGCTCGAGCGACACCAAGAGCGACGCTTGGCTCGAGGAGTGGTGCCAAGAAGTCTCGGGGACAAGCTAAAGGAAGTCATTGCCTGGTCGTTCCTGGGACTGCTCCTCCAGGGAGACATCCTCTTGGGGCTGGGACCACGGGGGCTCTTCCTGAGCCTGGGACTTTCCTGGGATCTCTTCATCCCGGCTGCTCCGGTCGTCTCACGAGAAGTAACATTCTTCTTGCTCCCAGCAGTTACAGCAGGTGGTGTTAGGAATGGCTCAGAATCTGGTTTTTTCTCTCCAGGGTCAGATTCTGAGAAAAAAAAACAGATGTAATCAATATATTAAGAGCATAAAAAGTGAGAAGAGGGTCTTCCCCAGGGATTCAAAAGCATTGAACCTGTTCCTTGCGCTTTGCTTCCTACTTGTCCTGGTTTGAGTGATACAGGAATAATCTCAGATCATGAAGTCCAACCCTGACAAACCCAGCACCAACCCGTGTTCCTCAGCCCCACATCTGCCTAGCTTTTAAATCCCTCCAAGGATGGCAACTCCCCAGATGTAATCAATACATTAAGAGCATAAAAAGGGAGAAGAGGGTATTCCCCAGGGATTCAAAAGCATTGAAGCTGTTCCTTGCGCTTTGCTTCCTACCTGTCCTGGTTTGAGTGATACAGTGTCCTGGTTTGAACGATCTCAAATCATGGAGTCCAACCATTAACCCAACCCTGACAAACCCAGCACCAACCCATGTCCCTCAGCCCCACATCTGCCCGGCTTTTAAATCCCTCCAAGGATGGCAACTCCACCACTGCTCTGGACAGCCTCCTCCAAGGCTTGAAAACCCTTTCAGTGAAGAAACCTTTCCCAACATCCATCCCAAACTTCCCCTGGCACAACTTGAGGCCATTTCATAGAATCATAGAATCATTCAGGTTGGAAGAGACCCTTGGGATCATCGAGTCCAACCATCTCCCCTACTCTACATAGTCCTTCCCTACACCATATTCCTCAGCACTGCATCTAAACGGCCCTTAAACACATCCAGGGATGGGGACTCAACCACCTCCCTGGGCAGCCTATTCCAGTGCCCAACCACTCCTTCTGTGAAAAATTCCTTCCTAATGTTGTCTAAACCTACCCTGTTGGAGCTTGAAGCCGTTTCCTCTCGTTCTGTCGTTAATCACCTGGGAGAAGAGACCAGCACCAACCTCTCTACAGAGTGATGAGGTCTCCCCTCAGCCTCCTCTTCCTCATACTAAACAGTCCCAGCTCCTTCAGCCGCTCTTCATATGGTTTGTCTTCCAGGCCCTTCCTCTTGTCTTCTTGCTTGGGAGAAGAAACTGACCCCCTTTTTCCCCACACCCTCCTCTCAGGGAGTTGGAGAGAGCGAGAAGGTCTCCCCTCAGCCTCCTTTTTCTCCAGTTTCAACATCCCCAGCTCCCTCAGCCTCTCCTCACAAGTTCTCCAGCCCCTTCTCCACAGGCTCCAGCCCCCTCACCAGCTCCATTACCCTTCTCTGGACACAGAGAATATCTTACTTGTCCTGAGGGGCCCAAAACCGAATATTCGAGGTGGGGCCTCACTAGTGCAGAATCCAGGGGGGACCATCACCACCCCCCCAGTCCTTCTGGCCACATCATTCCCGATCCAAACCAAGATGCTACTGGTCTTCTTGGCCACGCTGCTGGCTCTTATTCAGCCGGCTGTCAACCTAAAGCTTACCTGACACCGTACCTTCGGCCGCCGGGCGGGCTCCGCCGGGGGAAAGCTGAGGTGGAGAGGGGAAAAAACGATTAGGAGCCCGGCAGAGAGGTGTCCCCGCGGGGCGCCTTCAGCCGGATCTCCCCCTTTATCCCCGGCGCTCACCTCCTCCTTCTCCTCCGGTCCCTCAGGCGGCGGCGCTGAGGCGGCTGAAGCGGCGGCGGGCGGGGGCTCCGCCATGATGGCGGCCGTTGGGCGCGCGGCACGGCGGGAAAACGGCGCCCCTCAAGGAGGAGGGCGCACGCGCAGAGGCCGCCTCGCTCC